ATGGCCAGATGTTTAGCGGTTAGCTTAGCTCAGATGGCCAGATGTTTTGCGGTTAGCTTAGCTCAGATGGACAGATGTTTAGCCGTTAGCTTAGCACAGATGGACAGATGTTTAGCCGTTAGCTTAGCACAGATGGACAGATGTTTAGCCGTTAGCTTAGCACAGATGTTTAGCCATTAGCTTAGCACAGATGGACAGATGTTTAGCCGTTAGCTTAGCACAGATGGACAGATGTTTAGCAGTTAGCTTAGCTCAGATGGATGTTTTTATAAACAAACATTTGATTTAAGCAGAGAACAAATGATAAAATTAAATCAATGCATGAAACCAGTGCGAGGATGAAGAAAATTAAGTTGTTAATGTTTCTTTCCATAACTTCAGTTTTTTTATAGGTCGACCTAGAATTGTTCTGGTAGTTCTGCTCCTGACAGACTTTCCTCGTTTTGTTCTGTTCGGTCATTTGAGCTCCCGCTGGCTTAGAAACTTCATCGAACCCGGTTCTGATCTGAAAATGACCCCAGCACAAAGAATCCAGACGGAACTCTCAGTCCAGGGGGTCTTTAGATGAGGGGCTCCTGGTTCTGATGGACTTCAGAACCACTTTGTTCTGAAACAACTCAGCAGTCTAAAGTGACATCAGAACAAAATCCTACAAACTTGAACAACTTAACATTTTTAGACTGATGTTTCTAAAACACACGGCCACCGTGCACGCGCGCACCGGATTCACGCACAGGCAGTAGCTTTGTATGCACGCGCGGATGAGAGTTGCCCGTTACCTGTCTCAGTGTCACCTGTTCGTTACCTGTCCGCGACCATACCGCCCGGTTCTGATTCTGACCCTCTGTGCTCCGGAGAAAACGGATCATCCTCCGCCTGCAGCGCACTACTTTTCACCGAGAGAAACGTGTCGTTTCTCTGCGGAGGGAGACGCTCCTGCGGCGGCTGTGTAGCCGTACAAAGACGGGGCAGGCTGCCATGGAGCCGCAGCTAGCAGTGGCCATCTTGTTTATGGGAGACTAGCGGGGCTAGCTGCTGTTAGCATCCGGCAGGAAGTGAGAGTGAAGCGGCCACGGCGGGAGAGTCAGCCGCCACCTCCTCCTCTGCGGTCCCGGCAGCTTTCTGCATTCCACAAACCCAATGACCCGGACCCGAACCCAGCAGCCGGGAGCGGCTGGCACTCCGACACAACAACATACAAACTGGAAAGGTTCGAGAGGCGGCCCGATCCTCGGTCGGACCGTTAAAAAGGCACCAAACCGAGCGGAGCGACGCGGCGGAGAGGAACGAGCGGGCGGCTCTTACCTGCGGAGGGTCCGGTTCATGGCCGGCTGGGGGGGGGGGCTGGCTGTCCGACTCGGTTCGGCTCCGTTGCCCGTCACTTGTAGCTCACTCCACCGGACCCGCCACGTCCACCTCGGCAGAACACCCGCCGCCTCTCCTCCTCCTCTCCTCCCCTCAGTCGGCTCCCTCCCTCCTTCCTTACCTTCCTTTCCTCCCTCCTTGCTCCCCGCTCGCGCACACACGTACCCGTTCAGGCGGGTATCTGGGTTACCATGACAACGGAAGAAAAGGTGGGTACGGTGAAGGCGCGCGCGTTATGGGTACGCGTTCATCTCCCCCTTTGATCTCTAGCTCTATTGTTCCGTCGCCACGCGCCTAATTTGAATCACAGAATGAATGAGGAGCAGCACGCGCCCCGCAGAGTCGGGTCAACGCGGGCACGAGCCAATTAACGACGTCAGCGCATGACATCAAAAGAAAAACGAGTCAGAAAAGCTATGGGGCTGACAATGATCAAAATAAGTGTTTAAGAGTTTTAAAGCACATTTAAACATTTATCTGCAGATTAATACAAAGATAAAAATCAAATAATTTAAACTTTAACAGTCAAAAGTTTAGCTGTTTCAGTGTTTTTATAGTTCATCTGAGCTCTGATTTCCAAGAACAGCATCCTCAGGGTGGACCTGACCTCTGACCCCAGAGGTTACATAGGCATGCGTGAGCGAGGTGGCCCAGTTCCTCCAGTTCAGTCAGAACAAACCAGACAGAACTACAAAAAGCTTGTGGAAGGAAACATTTGGTCAGCAAGTTTAAACGTTAAAATCAGTCAATTCAGCAAGTTTAAACAATAAAATCAGTTCATTATTGAGCATGAATTTTGATGTTAATTCAGCAAGCTTAAACTTTAAAATCAGTCAGTTCAGCTAGTTGAAACATTAAAATCAGTTCAGCTAGTATGAACAATAAAATCAGTTAATTCAGTACATTTAAACTTTAAAATCAGTTCAGCGTGTTGAAACATTAAAATCAGTTAGATCTGCAAGTTTAAACTTTAAAATTTAAAGTTTAAACTTGCATCAATTCAGAGTGTTGAAATATAAATCAGTCAGTTCAGCATGATTAAATATTAAAATCAGTCAGTTCAG